ACAAAAGGGGCTGTGTTAACACGATGCAGCCCCGCCAGCCCTGTAATCAGAAACAGCCCCTCAACTGGCTATCATCAAAGGACTATACCAGGAACCGGGGGGCCCCCATTAAAGTCAAGGGATTGTTGGGGAGGGTTGATCAGTGAGCACAGCGCCACTGAACTGGCCTCCTATTCCTGGAGGGTAAGACAGGGCTGGAAGCCTGGGAATCACAGAGTCAGAGAAAGAAGGGACCTCCCCTGCCATGTATCCCTGCCCTGGCCCCACAAGGTTCCGTGCCTTGCCCTGGGTCAAATGACTGGAAATTGTCTGAGATTTAGATCCCCGTCTTCCTGCCTCCCAGTCCCATGCCCTATTCACTGCACCACACTGCTTCTCATTCTGGAAGACTAAGTGGCTTTGCTGAAGGTGCTGTGGGGCTGCGTGGCCAGCTCAGCATACAGACCTCCTAGCCCTGGAAGAAAGAGGGACTCACGGCCCAGAACCACCCCAGCCCCAACTCCCGGGCATAACCTGTCAGCAGGGAAAGGAATGAATTGCTCATTTTTCCCCCCTTAGGCTGGCCACACGGCCTTGTCCATGGCCCTGACGTCACCCACCCACGGGGAAATTGCTGAACTCCTGTGGGCCCACGCAGAGCAGGGCAAGTACGCTGGGCCGTAGAAGAGTCCGAGAGAAGCTGGTGCCCCCGAACAAAAGGATCGTTGTTGGACTCCTCCATCCCAGCCGTGGGGGGAGATGGGGGGAACAAGCTGTAATGGAGCGACTCCTTCCCCAGCATCTGGAGGGGAAGAATTATGTCAGCTCTGCCTCCCCATTCCTGATGTATCATTCTGCTTATAGGGCGCTTCGTAGTCTTAACAAAGCCTGGCCCATGGAGGGCAGGGGCTGCAGGACACTGACAGGGCACCGGCCCTTCAGTTCGTTTATTGTTGTTGTTTTTTTAACACGTTACTATTTACTCTGTATCCCTTATTAGCACAAAGGATCTCTAAGGCAAGCCACAAGAGCACATTAGCAAAGCAATACTTTTTATATGAAATGGAAAGAAACGTGTCTTTTTTTCCTCCTTCGTTTGCTATTTTAAGCCAATTAGATAAGAACGGGAAGAATGCATTACTGCATGGAGACAGGGAGACTCGGGTTCGAGTCTTTCCTTTGACCCATGTGGATTCCATGACCTTGGGGAAGTCACTTACCTCTTGGTGTCCCAGACAACCTTCAGAGACTAGAAGTCATGGCTGAGCTGTTGGTCTGCGTTGGTGGATTGAGTGCTTCCCACTGGTTAAATTGCTGGCAGCTAGGTGGCGCAGTGGATAGAGCACCAGCCCTGGAGTCAGGAGGACCTGAGTTCAAATGCAACCTCAGACACATAATGCTTCCTAGCTGTGTGACCCTGGGCAAGTCATTTCACCCCATTGCCTAGCAAAAAACAAAAACAAACAAACAAACAAAAAAACCATAAATTGCTGGCCCAACCAAATGTGTGCACATACATGTATAGACAAGCACATAGGTTCCCATCATAAATGGAACCATAGATTTACAGCTAGAAGTTCCCTATGTGTGCATGTACAGATAAACACACATGTCCCCATTTTAGATAGGATTATAGATTTAGAGTCTGACCCCCTTTTCATTTTACAGATGAGGAAATTGAGGTAAGCAGGGTTAATTGACTTGCCCAGGGTCATATAGATAGTAAGTGTCTAAGGCTGGATTTAAACCACTTCTCCTGACTCCCAAAACTAGCAACCCATCCAAGTATGCCATATGTATGTGTGTGTGTACCTATAATATACCTCTGTGTACGTCTGTGTGTACGTGTGTGTGCGTGTATACGCAGAGAGAGTACACGCATGTTCCTGAATTGCAAGGCTCACTGTGGCACCCAGCCTGGGAGGGTAGAAGGTCTGTCTTTAAGTCTTTCCTCTGATGCACACTGGCCAGACAATCCTGGGCAGATTCTTTGCCTCTTGGTGCCCCAAAGCAACTTTCTAAGACTGTAAAAAGTTGTCAGTCTGCATCAATGGACAGAGACTCCCTAGTGAAAGTTCCCTACGCTGATAATATCATGCCCTCACCTGTACGTATATGTGAATGCACATATATGTGTGTTTCAATCAATCAACGAGCATTTATTAAGCCCTTACTGTGTGCCAGGCACTGGGCTGCGTGCCAGGGATACAAAGAAAGGCAGAAACATGATTTCTTCCCTCAAGGTTCTCACTCTGTGTGTGTGTGTGTGTGTGTGTAGCAGTAAGAGCTGGCCTAAGGGTTAGAAAGACCTTTCCTGAGGTCTTGGTTCTGACAAATCCTGGCCGTTCCAAGGTTATAAATGGCAGGGCAGCGGCTGATTTGCATGGGTAGAGAGGAGACCAAAAAGTTTTATATACACATGTACTTATATACACATAATAATAATAATATCATTTACTAGCACTTTAAGGTTTGCAGTGCACTTCACAAATATCATCTCATTGTATCCTCACAACGGTCCTGGGAGGTAGGTACTATAATCATATCCATTGTACAGATGAGGAAACTGAGGCAGAGAGCAGTTAAGTGACTTGCCCAGGGCCACACAGCAGGGATGTGTCATAAGTGAGACTTGAATAAAGGTCCTCTTGACTTAGTATACTTGGATTCGAATGTTGGGGCAGGACTGGACTTCTCAGCACCAGCCCTGGGACTGAGTCACCAAAAAGTTCTGAGTGTGGAAAAACATGCCAAGTAGGGCTATGGTTTGGGGGCCCTGGTTTATGAGACCCTACGTGGGGGTGGGGCTGAGATGGAAACATCAAATTCAGACAAGGCGGGAAGCCACAGCATAAAGGTACCCACTCCAAGCACAGGGTGTTCTGCTTTCCGAATTCACCGCTGCCATATGGCTCTTATTTTTTCCAATTAAATCGGAATTACCCAGGAAACACAATCCATCCAAAGCCATCAGGTCTTTATAGAGTGCTTGGGCATGGCTGGGAGAGACCGGCTCTCCCTGATCTGGCATAAGAAACTGATTAGTGGGAGAATAAACTTCCCTGTGGGGTTGGGTTAGTCCCATTTCAGAGGCTTCCCCCACCAGTTCCTTGGGAACCATTTCCAATGACAGTTTCTGGTTTCTCGTCCCAGGGCCCCCACAGCTGAACATCTGCTGTGAAGTTCCAGGCTTCCTCTACCCAAGGCCCTGCCCCTACCCACTCACACACAATGAACCCCGTGTTGCAGCAGGTTTGCTGGAGGGAACTACCTGGAGGAGGGGGCTTTTTGGCCTCAGTCTTACCTTCCCTCATGGCAGCTGTTTCTCTCTTCCCAAGCTGCCATAGTTGGGGTACCAGCAGACCACAGACGTGAGACCAACAGTTCAGAGTCACCTAAAACTGGAGTAAATTTTCTTTATTTACTTTTTTTCTTGATGAAAACTTGCAGTTGCCTAGCTAAGAAAGGCATCCAAGTGCCTGGGATCAGACGCGGGAGACTGGGAGCTGAGAGGCCTTGCTAGGACGGTGCCACACCGGCCGGCCTTGAATAACCACCCTGGCCTTTGATGCAGAGCATCTAGGGAACGGGGAGCAGAACAGTGAAGGGCCTGAAGGTCGTGGTGGAAGGAACTGGCGGTTTTTAACAGGGAGAAGGGAAAATCCTGGGGGAACTGGAGAGCTGCCTTCAAGTGCTGAAGAGAAGGTTCACAAAAGAGGGATTAGCTTTGTTTTGCTTGGCCCCTTGGGCAGAACCAGCGCAGTGTGAGTGGAAGCTGTAAATAGACAGATTTAGACAGTTAGGAAAAAAAAAACTAACAAAGGGAGGAGCTATCCAGAAGTGACTGTGAGTGTGTGCATGTGTGTATGTGTGTTGTGAGGTATATGTGTGTTCAGCATGTGCATATGTGTGAGTGTGTATATGTTAGGAGTGTGGATGTGTATATGTAAATGTATACGTGCGTGTGTGTGTGTGCATGAATGTTAAGTGTAAATGTGTGTGTTTTGTGAGCACATGTATGTATGAGTGTGAGAGTGTGTGTGTGTGTGTGTGTAAAGGGCAGCTGATAGAACTCTTGGGATTCAATTTGGAAACTATAAGCATTTTATCATCATGATAATGTAAATGTCAGATCACTCTCCCAGAATTAATGGCACCCAGACCTTTCTTGAATGAATAACTCTCTTTTGACCTTCACACATATTTCACATACATATTTGCTGGACTTCAGTGACTCTGGACAAGAGAGTGAGGCTGACAGCTTTGCACAACTCCGTCTCACTTCAATTCACACATTCGGTCCTCTTCGAAAATGAAGGGCAAACAACATTTCAGAAGCAAAACCCTGTTTTACTCAGCTCTAATCAGCTTGGCTCAGCCTTCTACTTCGAGCTAACATTTATCTATTGCTTTTAAGTCTGAAAAAACCTTTGCATACAGCAACCCTGGGAGGTAGGTGCTATTATTATCCACATTTAACAGATGGGGAAACTGAGGCTGAGCCGTTAAATAACTTTCCCCATTGTCACACAGTTAGAAAGTATCTAAGGTAGGTTTTGAATTCCAATCTTCTTCCTAACTCCCAAGTTCAGCAATCCCCACCTCATCTGCTTCCCCACATATCTTCTTGTTAAAATGTCTCCTCAGTATTAACTACTCCATCTTGAAAAAGGGCTGCCCTGAGCAGTGACTACTGGTGTTATTTGCTTTGGGTCTAAATGGAACCAACATCTGATGCCAATCCTGCCCAGTGATGACTCCAGGTGCTTTCTTGAATTTGGTCACTTCAGCAAGGCACTTTGCGGGCACAAACCCTTAATGAAAACCCTTGATTTTCAAGGCCAACAGGCATGGCTTTCTCATCATCAGGAGGTGTGCATTCCTTGAATGCAAAAAAAGGAATACTAACTTTTGTCTCTTTGAGACATTTAATTAGGAATGCAATTGTATGGTTCCATGTCTGGAATGTTAATAGGTCACAACAGGCCTTGAATCCCCATTGTTGCATCCCCTTAGAGCATCTCAGGTGGCAGAGAAGACAGATACAGGAGACTGAAATACATCGTCAACTAGAATTTATGAAGTGCCTACTATGTTCCAGGTACCAGTTGGTCAATCAGCATTTATTAAGCGCTTACTAGGCGCTAAGCACGGGGGAGGCAGAGAAAGGCAAATGACAGCCTGACCTCAAGGAGCTGCCAGTCTAATGAGGGAGACTAACAAATGTGTACAAACAAGACATAGGCAGGGTAAATTGGAAATAACTGAGAGGGATGACGCTGGCATTGAGAAGAAGGCTTCCGTGGAAGGTGGGATTTTAGCAGGGACTTGAAGGAAACCAGGGAAGCCAGAAGGGAGAAAATTCTATGCCGGGGGACAGCCACGGAAACCCCCTGGAGATTAGAGACAGAGTGTCTCCTGCAAAGAAGAGTATGGAGACTGGGTCCACTGGATGGGATAGAGGGGGAGAGGTGAAGGGCTAAGACTTAAGAAAACTAGAAAGGAGTCCTGGGATTTCTCCTGTAGAGGGAGCTCCCAGTGAGGACCTTCCTTCATCAGTGCAGATTTCTTCTCTGGAGAACAGGGAGCGCCAGAGGGTAAGGGACCTCAATTTCTTCTTTCATAAAGTGAGGAGGCTGGAGTAGATAGCCTAAGGATGAAAGACCTCATAACTGGGAGGGGAGGGAGAGAACAGGCATTTATATAGCACCTACTGTGTGTCAGACATTGTGCTAAGCGCTTTGCAAACAGATATCATTTGATCTTCACAACAGCCCTGCAGGTAGGTGCTGTTATTATCCTCATTTTGCGATTGAGGAAACTGAGGGAAAGTGATTTGCCCAAGGTCACCCAGCCTGTATGGTCTGGTGGTTTGGGAGATACACGAGGTTTTTGGGCTCTGGGCTGTCTCCATTAGTGTCTGGGAGAAGTAAGTGGTGGTGGTACTTTAACTTGCCTGGTGCTGTTGTGGTCTAGGGGTCTTGGGAACCCCAAAATTCAAGGGCAAAGGGTGCAAGTCTGCCTAAAAGAATTCGACCACTCAAGCCTCCTTTCAGTCTAAGTAGTTTATTAAAACACCATTGGGGTGGGTGAGATTCCTGAGTGAGTCTGCGCATTTTGTAGGGCCAAAACTGACTTTTTATATAGGGAAAAAGATTGTGGGAAGATTTGGATGAGATCAAGGAGTGGCAAATAGCCTGGAGTGATCTGGAGGTAACAGAGAAGGAGTCTAGATGGGATGGGGGGGGAAGTGTGTGGTGTGTCCTGAGGTAACAGACAATGAAGAGCCAGGCTGGGTCAGAGGTAACAAAGAAAGGACAGTTGAATGGATTATTGAGTAGGTGGGGATGTGTGGAAAAGTTCAGGATCTGGGTTGCATTTTGAGGGTCCAGGTCTCATACCCCATCAGTACCACTGCCTCCTGTCTCTCCCTCAAGATGCCTTGCTACTTCAGCTAGACTGGCTTACAATTCAACAAACATATACTAAGCACCTAGTATGTGCAGGTACAGTTAGGTGCTTGGGGTACAAATACAAAAATTTTTTAAATCCCTTCAAGGAGCTTACATACCTTTTTGGGGGGGGGTTTGCCGAATGTGAGGGGGGAGAGATGATATTTATGTAGATGTATAAACAGAAGATAAATTGGGAAGGAAAAACACGTCTGAGAGAACTAGGAAGCGTCTCTTGTACTAAATAGCATCTGAGCTAATCTTTGAAAAAAGATAAGGAATCTGAGGACTGGACCTGAGGCCATGTGTTCCAGGCAAAATGATGGTTTGTATAAAGTCACATGAAACCCCAAATCTTTGAGTTCACATGGACTGGACGTCTTGAGGATTGCTTAATCATCTATAATGGGGGCAGCTAGGTGGCGCAGTGGATAGAGCATCAGCCCTGAAGTCAGGAGGACCTGAGTTCAAATCCAGCCTCAGACTAAACACTTGGCACTTACTAGCTGTGTGACCCTGGGCAAGTCACTTAACCCCAATTGCCTAAAAAATAACAATAATAATCTATAGTTCATGCCCCTAACAAAGTTTTCTTTGGCAACATCAGAGGTTGGTTCACCTGAAGGAATTCTTTCTGCTACATGGGGAACTTCTCAGTGTAGCTCTCTTGTAGGATATTCATGTCCACTCCCCTACTAGGAACATTCTGAATGTCTTTGGAAGAACAGAGACAGATGAGCCTCAGACCTGCCTCCTAGAGCCAGAAACAACCTCACAACATCAATAGGAAAGTCTAAACCGTCTGGGTGCTTACTCTGTGATGACTGGTCCCATGGCAAGCGTAGGGTCTGTGTTCCCATTTGGGAAGTTAATAGATGTGGAATCAAGAGAGTCAGGTTCAAATTCAAGTCACTTAAGTCCTCTGAGCTTCTAGTCCTTATCTGTAAAATAGGAGTAACGGCACTTCTCTCACCCAGGGTGGTGAAGAGCCAAAGAGACCATGTTGCCAAGAGCTTTATAACCTTTCTGTTCATCCCATCTCTGGTTTAGGGCTCCTCAGCTCTCACGTTTTCCTCTTTCTCGGAAGTCTCTCTCTCTTGTCCCCTGCCCCTTGGAATCCCTAGTTCCCATCCAGGAAGCCCACCAGGCTTTTCCAGAGCCTCCCAGACTACTGTCCTTACTGCTTTTCCCACATCCCAGAAAGGAATTTGTGTCTCTGTATTTACTTATCTGCAGACTCTTTGTTTCTCCCTTATAAGGTGTTTGAAGGCCTGGCCCCTCCACCCTCCCTCCTGCTTGGGGTCTTTCTTTAACCCCTTCTAAGGGGGGTCAGGAAGGAGAAGTTACTGAAACTGACTCTGCCCTTCTGTAAAATGAAGACAGCAGGTCAAGGTTGTTGGCTCATAAGCATGGAGGACTCTTTTTCTCAGATTCTTATCATCAGCCTTGAGTCCTACCCTCATTTGGAAACACTTACTAATTGTCAGCTAGTGATTTATCAGGAGTAAAACACAACTCCAGTTTTATCTCCGACTTTTCTGTAAACCTCCAACCGTCTCCCCCTTTTTCCAGCCTTCCCCTCCCTCATCTCCTCCCTCCTGTCCTCTTCCCTGTATTTTCTCTTTTTTTCGTTTCTTAGGGTCAAAGCTGCTTTCCCAGTACAGTCCCTAAAACCTAGTTTTTCCCAGTCAGCAACTTGGGGCAATGGACAAAGCAAAGCTGACCCCCAGTTTGAGATTCAACAACAACCCTTTCATTCCTTGCATTCATGCATTGCATGTACATCCAAATCATTATAAGCATTAATTGTCCACTATGTGTCCTACAACAGGAGTACAAAGACAGAAAGACAATGGTTCCTGTCTCGGAGGAGCTGACATTCTATTAGAGGAAAACCACGCGGGTACCAATGAATGCAAAATCTTTACAAAATCAATACAAAATCATTTTTTGAGGAGCAAGGAATAACTGGGATTGTCCAGAGCAGCATAAGCTAGAGTAGGCAGGAGAGGAGAGTTCAGCACCAGTGGAGGGACGGACTTGACCTGGAGGTCACTGCTCTGTGAGCCCAGGACAGAGGAACCTAACATTGAACAAGCCGAGCTGGGGCGCAGAGGGCAAAGTAGGAGTGAGGTCAAGATTTCCCATGCGCGCAACTTCTTCATTCTGAGAAAGCCTTCTTCCCCAAGCCCAGATGGTTTTCTCCACAGTGGCCTGCTTGTTCCCCACATGGAAGAAATTCTCAATATTTCCATATTGGGGACTTTCCGCTACCCCCTGCTAAGATGCCCAGATGACCTGGAAGAGAATGGACTCAGGCCAGGCTGACTGCGTGTTCCATCCTGTGTCCTGGAAACCCCTGGCTTCGGCTCTATCTACCCTGTCTGGCCACCACATCTACAATCCCCAATTCCCAGTGCCGCCGTTGCCCAACCTTATGCTTCTTGTGTCAATCAGGCTAGAAGGGCTGTAGTCTAAGCTGAGCATAGTACAGCACTCAATTTGAAGTCATAAGACCTGGGTTCGAATCCTGACTCTGCAACTTACTAACTGTATGAACTTTTACAAATTATTTAACATCTCTGTGACTCAGTTTCTTCATCTGCAAAATACCAGGGTTCGAGTCTTCTACCGGCCCTTGATTCCATGATCCAACTTGCTACTAATTAGAGCTATCCCAAAGTGGACTTCGGTACAGGTAGGTGGCACAGTGGATAGAGCACTCTGCCTAGAATCAAGAAGACTGTGAGTTTCAAATCTGCCTTTGCTGTGACCCTAGGCAAGTCACTTAACCCTATTTGCCTCAGTTTTCTCATCTGTAAAATGAGCTGGAGAAGGAAATGATGAACCATTCTAGTATCTCTGCCAAGAGAGCCCACAATGGGGTCACCAAGAGTTGGACACGAGTAACCAACAATCAAGTGGCTGGGGCTGCTTCTGGAGGCAGTGGGCTCTCCTTCCCTAGAGGTCTCAACAAAAGGCTGGATGACTGTTTGCTGGGGCAAGGGGAGGTATTGTAGGCAACTAGCAAATATTTAACATCTGGCTCTCAAAAAAAAAAAAGCCATACCCTGCACAGTGTTATTGTGTAACTGCTAATCTGTGTTATTAACATTTTTTTTATCACTTTCTTAAGACCAGACAATCAACAAAACAATAAAACAGGCCCCAGTTGTAGCTTTTGCTGATTTGTAGGTGTAAATGCTCCCACTGAAAGTTTAACTATCGGCTTTTGAAAGCCAGTTCAAACTGGCTCCATCCAGCATCTCCCAAGTTGTAGGAAGGGTTTGATCATGGGTCAGACTAGCTGGACACGGAGGTCTCCTCCAGTTCTGAAATTCCGTCATCCATGCTGACCCTAGCTTTTATTTAGAGCATACAAGTGGACCGAGGGCATCTATTCATTCATACAGAAATGGCACACGATGTTTGTGCTTTCTACTTCCCAGATGTTCCTGGTTCCCTGCTTTGGTCTGTTACAAGAAAATGCATGTAGCTGAATCCCAGGAAACTCAATCATGTTTCACACACACACACACACACACACACACACACATTTATGCCATTAAAAACAGCTATGCTAACAAGAGCTCAAGAACTGTGTCTACTCCCTATTTTGTACTAAGGCATGTGATTTGAATTGGGTTCA